TTTTTTATTGTAAAATATAACACATCACAGAAGTATACACACGAAAACATACAGTGCAATGATTTATCAGAGTGAATATCTTGTAAATACTTGATCAAGAAATAGGACCTGACCAGCCCCCAAAGGCCCCTGCACAAGTGTCCCCTTCCCAATCACTAACCACTCCATCTCTCCAAAAGTCACCGTCCTAACTTCCAAATAACTTCGTTGCTTGTCGTAATTTTGCCACCTAAGAATGCGTCCTTAAAGCCTAGAATTTAATTTTGCCTGGCTTTTCATCTCCATATGATGACAACACAGTACGTATTAGATGTGTTTGTTGGCCATTCATGTATCATCTTTTGTTAGGTGTCTGTTCAAATCTTTTAAACTCTGTTGTCTTTGAAGTAACCGATAAAATTCAAGCTAGATTAATCAAAATAAACAGAGGAGATATAAATTACCAGTATCTGTAACGAAAAAAGGACCAAAACTACAAATCCTATAGACATGAAAATAGTAAAAAAAAGTACGAACTTTATGCTAGTTAGACAACCCTAGTTTACGCAAAGTGACTGAACCAGCCAGGTTTGCAGGAATATCACAAAATAAACGTTTGATTTACCTTTCAAAAAATCTTCCAAACTATCCGTAGACTCGTGTTAATCCCTAAGTCACCTGAGAGGACTACATATCAATTCAACTCAGAAAACACCTTTAAGTGCCTACACAATGTGGGCTACCTGTGAAGGATTCCTATTAAGGACACGGTCTTTTCTTACAGTCTGACCATCTTCATTTGGTTTAGTGACTCCTGGAAAAATGAACACAAATAAGAGACAACACTAGCTTTAGGAAAGATCATAACGCTATCATTTATTAAAGGAGAAGAGGCAAAAAAAGTTTTGTGATAGTCTGGGGGAAAAAAACAGCTTCGTTTTCAGCAAAATGCTTTCTCTTTGAAATGAGTTAGTAAAAAGGAAACAACAGTCACTGTATGAAACAGTCTCAAGGTAGGAAAAGTAGCACACGATAATGTATTTCTGAATACAAAGAAACTCAGGTATGCATCAGCAGCACGGAACATGTATTGCGCATCCACAGTTACAAAAATGGAATCGCGTTTTAACAAAGTGTTTCAAAAGCTCATCATATGAGAACAGGCACAGTGTCCTGAAGGCAGAGGAATTCCCCATGGGCTTCTGTATGTCCTCACCCCTGACTTCACAATCAGAATTTACAAAAGCAGCATAAAAAAAAAATCAGAATTCATAAGGTTTTTTTTTTTCCTTTCCTTGTTCAAAGTGGCTAAGTCAAGCACATGTATCGAAAAAGGCAAAATAAACACTTTTCGTAGCAGAAAGGCCACAAGAGCGAGCGTAAACTATGATTCTCCTGTTCGTCCGCACTCAGAACAGGGCCCGCTGCCTCCCTGCTGGCAGACAGAAGCACCTGCCAGGTACCCAGGTACCAGACTTAGCAGCCATGCTCACAGGATATTCGGTTTCATCAGCCCACTTATATCAGGTAACTTCTGTCCGTGACTTTTTTGGCTGCTGTTTATTAAACGCAGTGACGTTGCTCTGTCGGGAACACATACATCGTTATTGTTTATTACAATGCCCTGGACTGACTTGTTGCTTCAAACCGCTGTTTCTCCCATCCGGTGAACTCACTCTTCCCTGCTTTCAGCTCCTCACATCTCCAGAAAAATTTCTGTGCATTTCTAAGCCCATGATCAGTTTATCGGCTCCTGCCAGGAAGGACGTGATTTCATTGTGAATTTAACAAAGACTCTGCTGCTCCCCTGGTCACCGCCCTGGACCTTGTCACAGGCCTGGAGTGAGGTCGGCGGCCGTGCTCGGGGAGGCCACGCCACAGAAACCCAAGCGCCGATGGCAAAGCTTCGGAGAACCGCGGACCCGGGAGGGTCGTCTACACACCTGGGGCAGGACCGAAAATCGCCAGAAAGTGGAAACAGACACCCTACCTTGAGTGAACTGGGATCAAATCAACTACACAGCACCTTCCCTGCTTGCTCAACTACAAACTCTCAAGGCCTCGGAATTTCCCAAAATTACGAATTTCACACAACCTCCCGACCGACATTTTATGTTTCAAAAAAATTCTAGATTTCTAAATTTAAATTCTTTTGTTAACATCTTACTACGAGGCCCCAGATATAAATCTACATTTAACTTTAGTTCAATTTAACTAATAGCTTTTTTTAAAACGCCACCTGCAAAGAAGTTGCACATCGAACACACCAATAAAATCCTGGATTTTAAAAATTAAAAAAAAAAATATGCCAAAAATCTAGCAAAAATCTAGTGGCTTCATCAACCTTAAACACTGATTTGTTATTTGCTGAAACTAAAGCGTAAGGTCAGTTTGAGAATTTCTGAATATCTGTCACCCTGCGGCTGACCTGGTCAGAGGAGGCTGGCCGGCTGCACACCGCCCCAGAGCCGCAGCTCCATTAACTTGTTGCACGGTCTCATCATTCACACGGCCACACTTGTCGCCCCCGTGGAGCTGCCAAAACCAGGAGCAGCCAAACCAGCATCCCCACATCCCCGCTTTGAAGCTGTCTCCCTTCTCAACTGCCTCCTAATGAAAGTATCCACAAGTTATGTACTCAGATGCGTTTTGAGATTCTGTCTCTCGCTACCTGTGTATACACTGATTAGGATGCAAGGGAGGTGGCACTCGGGGAGAGTCCACAAAACACCCTCCAAGAGTGACGGACAGAGGCTCTAAGCACTGAGATCACCAGCCAGCGAGAACACTCAACTGGGGAGGGTCTCATGCCTGCTGGAGACGGACAGCTTGCCTGGGAGAGGGAGGGAAGGACCCTCCAGGCGGGTCTGAGCAGCCGGCCTGGGCACAGCCACGCCAGGAGCTGGAGAACCCAGACAGAGGGACAGAGAAGACGGGAGGCCGTGAGCCAGTAAGTACCCAAAAGCAGTCCCAGGGGCTGCGGAGCCGGGAGGGCCAAACACAGGGCCCCGGCTCTCCAGGTGTGGCCGGCGGTGCCGCCCCCAGCACGGCCATCAGAGCCAAGTCCAGGGAAGAGCGCTCAGGCCTGGGCCGCACGGGGCTGCGCGTGTGACCTCGGGCGAGCACTTTTCCCCTCTGCAAGAGTCGCCTCCACGGTTCCCTCCACTCCCAAACCCCAAATTGGGTGGGGTGAGAGGCAGGGGGTGGGG